AATTGTTGATTAGTAATATATTCATTGCTAAGAACTTCATTTGGACAACTTTAAAGATGATTTTCTCAATATTTTGGTTTTTTTGCATCCTCAGATTCCAGATTCTCAAATAGTTGTATCTCGGCCAAATAGTGTCCTATCCTAACAAACCATACATCAGTGGAAAACTTATTTATTCAGCTTTCAGATGATGTATAAATCTCACTTTCAAAAAATTGGCCCTTATGACTGGTTTTGTTGTCCAGGGTCACATATAACATTAATATAATTAATAATAAAGACCTTTTCATTTATAAAAACAGGTAGATTTTAATCAATTGACAGCCCTGAAACCAGGATATATTTTCATGCTTTCAACAGCAAGTCTTGCGATGAGAAGCCACATTGAGCTGAACGTGTGTATGAGTGTGTCTCTGAATGCAGGAGGGTCTCATCAGAAAACCTCAAAGCCACTTACTGGTTTCCTGTACGCGAGCCACAAAACCCGTCAGTGGAAGCTGGGGTGTGATCTGCAGTACATTGGGGGGAGGGGGGGCCACTGAGGCTAGGCCACAAGACCACAAAAAGCAAACAGAGGAAGGGGGGAGTGTGCTGGGGTGTAACACTACACTCATGTCACATTCACTTTTAAAGAAGCCAAAAGAAGGGTAATATAAATAAATAAATAAATATATATAAATATATAAATATATATATATATATATATATATATATTTTTTTTTTAAGCAAGTCTTGCGATGAGAAGCCACATTGAGCTGAACGTGTGTATGAGTGTGTCTCTGAATGCAGGAGGGTCTCATCAGAAAACCTCAAAGCCACTTACTGGTTTCCTGTACGCGAGCCACAAAACCCGTCAGTGGAAGCTGGGGTGTGATCTGCAGTACATTGGGGGGAGGGGGGGCCACTGAGGCTAGGCCACAAGACCACAAAAAGCAAACAGAGGAAGGGGGGAGTGTGTGAGCATGAACCAAGATAAAGAAAGTGAATGTGAAAGGGAAAAACAGAAGACAGTAGGCAGTTAGTTTAGTGTGCAAACACTGTCTGACAAACAGGAAGTGGTCACCTTGGAGCAGAAAGGATGAAGGGTGAATCTACACCAGCTAGAGAGTTCAAAGACTAACCAACATACATCAAAGCACCAATATTAACTGCACATTATCTGCACTATATTAACTGCACATTATTATTAAGAACTTGATGAGAGAGATGTTACTACAGAAAAAAACAAATGTGGTAAAGCAAAGATATGATGGTGTGTCAAATACAAATGTTAAAAGAAAGTAGACTGCAGGTAGGGGGTCCATGATGTACTCCGTCTCAGAGAACAAATGAAACTGCCTTTGACGAATCACCAGAACAAATGTTCTGAAAGACGTCAGGTCTGAATAGTGAGAGCAGTACCTTGGTCCTGATTGTAATAGGGCCCTCCGTTCTGCTGGCTGGGGGGCATGGAAGTCTGACCCGAGATTGAGGGCAGCCGGCGATACGGCAGCGAACCCCCCTCTGTGGGCGCGATCTGCCTGGGGACGGGCCTGTTCATGCTGTAGAACTGAGGACCACCTGCATGAACAACACAGCCATGAGATGGAGAAAACACTGACTGCAGACTGATCCACCTTTATTCCCTATTAACAGTCAAAAAATAAATGAGAAGAATTGTGAGAGATCTACAGTCAGACCATTCAAAAACAAGCATTTTGACAATGACCGTAAATGTCATGAAAATGACGTTTAAACTGATCTGGACTAAGGAGGTTTTCTTACTAGATCTTCTTGGTGTGGACCAAAGTACATTTGATGATAGCAGTACAATTTCACAAGGATGGTTCGCAATTGCTATGAATAATCTGGCCTAATTTGGAATGTGGGATTTGCACAATATTTTTAATAGAGTGCTGCAGGAATAACACTTTTCTTTTTGTAATATATACTGTATATATTTGTAATTTTTGGCATTTTCGCCTGTACTATGATAGGACAGATCAGACCTGACAGGAAGTGAAGTGGGAGAGAGATAGAGGGGCGGGATCAGGAAAGGTCCTTGAGTAGGGATTTGAACTCGGGAAAGCCTGTAGCGCGATGGCGCTGTATGTCGGCACGCTGCCTACAAGGCTATCGGCACCAACTGGAATTATATATTTTTCTAAGCCAAAACCTGGAAACAAGTTTGCATTTAAGCACTTCTGGTTCCATCGTCCCCAAGTCAGTTTTTTTTTATGTTTTTGGTTAAATGCCTGAAATAAGGTCTGTGGTCAATACAAGCTCAAAATATTTTCATATTGAATTTTTTGATAATATGTAATTTTAATACGTAATATGTAATTTGTTTAAAGCTTTTACTTGTCTTGGAAAAAGGTAGTTGCTAAATGTCATTAAAAATCATGCTGAACTCTCCAAATCTACTCACTGTTGCTGCCTACAATTGTGCTCTCACAAATTTTTCTAACTCAAACTTTCATGGAATGTGTTTTTAAATAAGCATAATGGTAGTGGCGTTGAAGTCATGTGATCACGGTGTAGTTTATTTATACTCTACGTTTAGCTTTTTACTTTTGGCAATTGTATTAAGGCTTTATAAATTCATAAAAGTTGTGTTTACTTGAAGAATATCATGATGAATAAGATGCTTTTATGATAAGATATATATACAGTGGGTACGGAAAGTATTCAGACCCCCTTAAATTTTTCTCTCCGCCACTGCTCCCGCTGCTGAACACACGCTCCAGATTACACACCTCACACACGTGTCTCATGTTATACACATACTGACATCCAAAGACTCACACACAGAGACAACAAAACAGATGAATCATAAGCGCTCTCAAACACACATACATCACACAAACAGAATCACAAATGAACCAACAGCTCACACATAACAGGAATACACACAGCAGCATGGGTTGGTTCAGTGTCTATCACAAAAAGAACATGATATGGCAGCATTTGTGAGTCACAGAAAGAACGGAGAAGCAACCGCAGAGACTTTGTGGGTAGAAAGAAGCACACTCATAGCCTGCACTCATACTGAATGCACAAATGCTGAGCACATGGGGCACAGACTGCATGAGATAATGTGCTTGAGATGGAGAGAAAAGAGCAAGAAGAAATCCACAAATCAATCAGTAATGAGCATGAAGGTCCTTGAGACACTTTTTTGAGATGAAAAGAAAGACAGCAATGGCAGGCAAATATAGAGCTGAAGCAGCCGTCAAGACATACATTAAATGGCTGAAGAGAAAAACGAACTGTCAGCACCTTTAGAGTTAGCAGCAATAATTATTTTCTTAGTCGACATGAAATAGATATTTACCTATTTTTTAATGCATATTACTAATCTGACCTTGCAATTTTGATAATAATGTCATCGCTTGATCATCCAGTGAAAATGATTCTTTCTGGCGACGGATGCTGGATTTTTTTCTAATCCTTTAAAGGGGTCATATGATGCGATTTCAATTTTTCCTTTCTCTTTGGAGTGTAACAAGCTCTTGGTGCATAAAGAAGATCTGTAAAGTTGCAAAGACTAAAGTCTCAAATTGGGTGAATTAAGCTCAAGTCTTTTCTTGGCAGTTTTCGTGAAATTCACCATTGTAGGCTCTAAAATTATGAGGGGAAAGGAGATTTGGACAACACATGCTGGACTCAAAACCTCCATCCTTAAAGCTCTACAAATCCAATGTGTTAGGATCATGTGTGTTACCACAGCGCCAAAGCTCCAGCAACTTCAACTTTCTGTAGCCTTTAGATGCTAGATTAAGGCTGAACTCTGTTTGTAAAGGCTTTGATGATATTTAAGTGTTCTCAAACATGAATTTGAATATATTCAAATCATCAGCCCTTCTGAGCTTCAGGAGGGCACAAACATTGTTATTTTTGTCCAAGATGTTCAATAACATTTCCAACTGGCAGACAGATGGGAGAGGGCTGGGGAAAACAGCACCAAATGCTCTTTTTCGGATCCTGAAGTGACAAGAGGAAGTCGTAAAGAGCATATGAGAGGACTTCAGCATACATTCACTGTTTAGGGTGAAAACATGAGAAATGATTAGGATTGTTTTCAGTCAAGTTGGAGAGTGTACTGAATAGTGTTCCTGCTCATCAAGTAAAACACAGGATGCTAAAAACAACAAGGTCAGAGTTCGATTCCCAGGAAACACACATTATAAAATCGCTTTAGCTAAAAGTGTCAGCCAAATGCATAAATGAAGACATTACAGGCATCCCTGCAGATGGCACAGAGATCAAAAGAGAACAAGAGAGAGTGGTTACATAATTTCAGACACAGCTGAAAAGGTCTGAGCTTCAAAGGAAAGACCCAGAGAGAACTATCTGCAAGAGTCTGTGCTTCTTATTCTGCAATGTAGTGGACTTGATCTTTAAAATCCTCAGGAAAAAACAAACAAGAAGGGTAAAGTTTAAGATGGGAGAAGAGAAGAATGTCAGAGAAGGAGAGGCTCTGCAGTCATCTGAGAGCATCTTCAGGCGTCTTTATCCTCCATGACTGATGATGCGTTTATGTGAGCGCTGCTAACGTCACTCATATTGCAACTGGTTTCCAGGGTTTCCGATTATGCAATTGTGCAGACAATCAGTGATGCTTGTTTTAGAAGTGCTGAGGAAAAGCGATGTCTGTGTGAAAGAGCTCTGCAGCAAAACCAACTAATCAATGTTAGCTAATAAATACATGTACATTCAGTCACTATAGTTGCCAAAAGGTCCCAAACTGCTTTAAGTCAGTAAATACAGAGACATGCATGCACACTGAGAGCAGTACGAGAGATTTGCTCTGACAGAGAGGAGAGGATGAGGGTAATGGTACCTGTAAGTGCGGTTCCTCTGATTAACAGACGCCGTGCGCACAGGACTTTGCTGCAGAATGGGCGCCATATTGCGTGTGGGGCTGGGGACATAGTCATTTGGCACCACCGGAGGCCGCACTGGCTCAAGCGTTCTGTAGGGGGAGTGTCTCCTGTCGGGAGAGACAGCAGGTCAATAACCTTGGGAAAACAATCAGACAATTACTAGCCTAGAAAACTTAAAGCTGCAGTTCGTAAGGTTTGCCTCTTTGTTGCCATCTCTGTTTGAAAACCTGCAATTGCAGCTGTTTGCGGAATTATCTTCCTTGCGTGGGTTGTGCGCCGGCACGGCTCCGTGTAGATTTCAATTTCTGCACAGTCTAATCTCTAATTGTCATACCATTCGAATTTCATATAAAGAAATTATTTTAACCCAAAAAGCTAATTATGCTCCCTTCAAACTAGTCTTTAAAATAAAAACCTTGTGTAATCCCAGGCTATCTGTAATCAGAAGCAGATTTAAAATGGCAATATAATTTAATTTCATTCACGTGTTTCATAAACACATAATCCTTTCTGGATTACAATCCGTCATCAAAATGATACATTTAATTATTTCAGCTGCTGTGAGAAAAGGCTATATACGATCTGCCACCTGCAGGATCCTCACATGCGATAGCCTAGTAGCCGGGACAACTTCTTTATGTTTACAGACGTGACGTAATGACGCGGCAGCATGCTCGAATTTCCCGCGAAAACCTACCCGTACAACTCAAATTAGAAAACATTATTATAAGATAACCGTTGTGAATCGGGCTAAAGTAAGGCGATAGTTTTAAACACTGGCTGCTTATGTACTTGCTCAAATATTGATTTCGGATCATTTTTAACCAAAAAAAAGTTACGGACTGCAGCTTTAAATATCTGCTGCCATGTTATATATAAAACCATTTTGATTTACTTAATGTCTGTTATTCTGAAATTTTACAATCAGAACTTTTAGCATTCCAAAGCAAAACAGTTATAATTCATCAACAGCATGATTTTGGGTTTCTTTTAAAGGATGAGATACCATACATGATTTTCAAGGTTGTGAAAAAGCATTTTGGATTTGAGGTCAGGAAAGTGCAGGTGAGAAACAGTAATTCAATCTGTGGAAAAAAAATGTGAAGTCAGTGTTTTCTCTGGTATCAAAAGAGAAAACGGGCATTGCTGTTTGAGGCAACCATAATAAACTATTAGCATACATTATTAATTAAAACAATTTATTACTATTTTAATCAACTAATTTGTCTCTTCATCACAGGAAAAACTGCATCTTAGAAGTACTCAACCTTGCTTTCTCTTAATGTTTTTAATTTACTTTAAAACATGTGCTATTTTTACCAAAAGACTATGCTTCTTGACTATGGCACACATGTAACAATTAACTTTTTTTTTTTTTTTAAATGAAAGAAATAAAGTGACAGAAAATAAAACACTAAAGCAACAGTAGACAAAATCCTCACAGAAAAAAAAAACCTAACAGACACATAATGAATCTATTAAAAAGTCAAATTTCTTCCAAAAAACAAAAAAGTAAATAAATCAATTTTGTTTAGCCTAAATAAAATCATGCTATTTTGCAGTGACATTTTAATGACAAAGGACATTTCAACCCCAGATTCTTATTACCATAATGTGTGCAGGCACAATCATATTCCTACAACTGTGATACATATATATATATTTTTTACTGTATAACAGTAAACTAATTACAGTATTTTTTAAAAATCAGCATAAAGTACAACAAATACTACTTTTTTCAACTGTACAATAATGTGAATTCACCCAAAAATGCACTTTATTGTCATGAAGATAAATGTCACAAAGAAAATTGCAAAGAAAATCTTAATGGTCCTTTAAAATAGACGTTTTTAATATAACTATTGACATCTTGACAAGTTTTGTGAGATTCACCCAACAGTTTTAACAGATATATACAGATTTACTATTTCCCATCACTTGCATATGGATTTTATGAGGGAATGAGCTTTAGCTGTGTTGTGTTGCTGACCTGTCCATTAAGCAGTACACAATCTGGCTTGCAATGATCAGCCATCATGGGGCGACACAGGAAACCAAGAGTGCCAATCTGCACAGCTAGTGCTCAGAAAACAGGGCAGGACACACCCTCTGTCCTCAATGCTCAAACATCAAGCTCCATCTTAATAATGAACACACTTTAAAAATTGAGCATATCTGATCTTTCATAATCAGTTTCACGCTTTCACAATATACCAAAGCATATTTCACACGCCTCTTTTCTGACCCAAATGTAAAATCAGGCTCTTCACTGGCATAACGGGAAACAAGGGATGTGAAGGATAATGTCATCTGTGGGGCTGAGGCTGAATTCTCCCTGAGGACTAAAAAGACATGACCCACACATGTGCTCCTGAACTCAACTAGAGCTGTGTGTGACCTACACTGAAAAACAGGCTTTTACTAGGAAGTAAAAACTTCACTGTTGTTGTAGAAATGTTATTATAAAAATACATTGTTTTAAATGATCTGATAAGTTGAAAGAATCATAAAGGACCAGTCAAATGTTTGAATACACTTGATGTTCTACATACTGGAAATTACTACTGCAACAATGACGAACTAGTAGGTGTGCCGAGTCAAGTAGAATTTTTCATTCACTTCATTTATCATAAAAGCTTTCCAGAATATATGTAAATCAACACATTGTATGCTGTTCAAGGACCTCAGAGATGTGAGTATTACGAGCAAACACTTGAAATGAGTCATTCACTGCCACAATCTCAGTGGCCGATTCTCTCATTCGTCACCACTAGAGCTACAAAGCGCATATACATACCCTATGGTGCCTTTGCCTGGCATTGGGGGGCTTGGTGGTTTCTGTGTGGGAGGTGTGGTGCGAAGAAGGCCGCCCATCTTCATGTTCTGGGTGTTGACCTATGACAATAACAAATCAACAACATCAAAAACAGCCTTCAGCTATCAACAAAAACATCTCAGTTTCACGGAAGAGGAAAAACAGTATCTAAGTTGACAATAGCCTAGAACAGCCTCATAAAATGTAGAGCCACAGAGAGAAAGACTGCAAGAAAGTGTTTTATCTCATTTAGTTTTTAGAGAAAACAAAGGAAAGCCCAAACAAACAGAACAAGCTCACACCCACACACACACACACACACCTACTCCTGAGCAACATGCAATAATAAAAATGCAAATGTAATATGGAAAGAATGAAAGAAGAAACAGGGATGATTGCCAAATGGTTGTTCAATTATTATTCGCTCCATTCCTCAATGTATATATAAGAAATTTCTGAGCATCCAAATATTGTTTTTGTATTAACTGACAAGCCTTTAAACCTACAATGAATGAATCAAATACAGAATATCAGTATTCTCAGTCCATATTTAGGTCATATGAACTAAGGAATCAAACCTTATTCCTTCTCCATTCATGTCACCTGATCATAAGACAGCTGTAAAGGCCCTTACCTTGAACCTAAGCAACCACTTAAACCAAGAGCGAAGCGGAGAACAGAGGTGAGAGGAAGCACAGAGAGGTTAGTGACACATCTCAGACACAAAGAAAACCCACGGCAGATTCTGGCATTTGTTAGTTCAAAAACATGTTAGTCAGAAAAATCATTCCTCTCAAGGTGAGCCCATGTCCTACCTTCACACCGTGACCGATATCGTCCAGCGTGCTGTAATCGATAGGTTTGCGAATGTACCGCACCGGCCTCTCGGGATTGGCTGGAGCAATGATTTTATGCGTGCGGGAGGTGTTCTTATTGGTTGTGAGGATGCCGATCTCCCGCCTCGCCACTTTTTCTTTGTGGATGTCCACCGTCTGTAGGGAAAAAAAGTTTGAAAAGTTTAAAGAACTTTGAAATCTACTAAAACCAAACTGGGTCATTCAGAACTATAACCATATTCGTATTCATGATAGATCATGATATAATAATATAGGACATTTGCATACAAAAGTCTTAAAGCTACAGTGGTACTGCATTGGAGCAAGAAACAACTTGAGGAAAAATGATGGCCTCTTTAAACTTCATATTTGTGGAAACAGGTTACAAAACACAGAGTATGTGTGGCGAATTATTAAAGCATGCAGTTGTGAGAGGTCTGAAATCCCTGTCGGCGGAGTTCTGTTTCATTTCACACGGTAATTTGGGAGAGGATCATGTCAAAAGCACTTCACGAGAAGAGCTGCATTAGATGTTGTGCTGCTGTGTTTAATCGCTTTAGAGCCCGTGCTGTTGACAGCTGTTAAATAAAAAATAAATGAAGAAACAGAGGGGAGATAAGCCGCCGCTGCTGCTGGCATCTCAAACACAGCTAAATGATTTTCAGCATTGAGTGACAGTGATATGGTAAAAAGGGATCGAGTCCAGAGCAACAGCTGAGTCCACAGATGAGGGCAGTCGAGAAAAGACAGATCAGAAAAATGGAGACAAAAAAGAATGAAAAGTGGAAGAGAGAAATCATCCATGATGGAGAAATAGGCAGCTGCTGTTGACCTGGGATGCATTTCCCAGAAGCGTCTCTAGCAAACTATGGTTGCAAGTTCCGTCATTAGCAACATAGTTCAACCATCCAGCGTTTCCCAAAAACATAGTTCCAACGAACATATGCAAATAGCATTGCAAAGCTGTGTGGTTGAAACTGCAGCTCTTGGCCTGTGGTTAGAAGCATAGTGTCTTGTTAGTGTGACTTGTGGACTTATAGATTATGCTCTTGAGTAAGATAAGCAAGCTATCTTTCATTCCATATCCATATATAAAATACACTGAAAACAGTAATATTGTGAAAAAATGCAGAGGTGGACCTTAACTAAGTATTTTTACTTCATTACCGTAGTTAAGTACAGTTTTTAAGTATCTGTACTTTACCGGAGTATTTTTATTTTGGGAAACTTTTACTTCACTATATTCCAAATCATAATAATGTACTTTTTACTTCACTACACTTCATTCCTCATTCCATTTTGAACTGGAGAAATCGTCATGCGTTTATTATTGTAAATTAAAATCATATTTGGGTCACGAGTGTCCATTGTCTGCGAACTAAAATATTTGAATATAAAAATATTTGTGTATTGCCATCTGAACGGGGTAAAAACGGGTTTTTTAAAACTTAAAAACTAAACATAACGTTAAAATAACGCAAATTAATGCCCATACATCTAACCCACTGCCGTAGCACTTTCAAATGATGTAAAACCAGCATGTTTGCATAGCGTTCTTCTTAAAATGCAAACACATTTTGCCCAATGTGATGTCTTGTATGTTTATATTTGAAGAGTTCATTTGCAAAAGCCGATAACTCCATTTTTATTTTTATTTTCAGAAATCACGTTTTTTTTATTGCGCATTCCAAGTAATATAAATCATACTGCAGTTGGGTTGTTTTGATTAAGTAATAATAACTTCAACAAATACAGGTAATTTACAAAATTAAAGTTCATTAAAAGTATGTTTTTTTTTTTTTACATATTAAAAGTTTGTTTTATAGCAAAAGCAGATAACTCCACATTTCATGTTTTTGAGTTTAAAAAAACACTCGTTTAATCTTTGTAATCTCCTCAGATGACAATGTAGATGCCTGACAAACGTTGTTGCAGCTCATTTTTTTTTTAAAGTGGCGTTTATCGGTTTTTGCAAATGAACTCTTCATTTGGTAACACATTTTGTTTTTCCTTATTTCATTATACTACATGGTATATGTTGTTATTTTCACTTATTTACACACTTGAATTATCAGTAATTTTTAGTAGTAGTATGACGTATTTTTAGCAGGAGTATATAAAATTATAAAATAAATAAAAATATTAATCATGTTTTTTTTACTTTTAATACTTAAGTACATTAAAAATCAAGTACTTTTGTACTTTTACCCAAGTAAAATTGAAAAGAAGTACTTAGTACTTTCACGCAACTATCTGATTTGTGTACTTTGTCCACCTTTTATTTAAAAACATTTTTTTTATTTGAATATATTATAAAATGTAATTCATTCCTGTAATGACAAAGATACATTTTCAGCATCATTACTCCAGTCTTCAGAGTCACATGATCCTTCAGAAACCCTTATAATATGCTGATTTGCTGCTCAAGAAACATTTCTATTATTATCAGTGTTGAAAGCAGTTGTGCTGCTTAATATTATTGTAGAAACCTTGATACATTTTCAGGATTCTTTGATGAATAGAAAGTTCAAAAGAACAGCATTTATTTCAAACAAATCTTTTGTAATATTATAGATTTCTTATAACGTCACTTTTGACCAATTTAATGCAACATTGCTAAGGATGTAACGATTCACTCAACTCACGATTCGATTCACGATTTTGATTTCACGATTCGATTCGATTCACGATTATTATTTTTTTTAACAAAATGAGATTTAAGACAAATTATAAATTAAATGTGTCGATTTGAATCGTCACATATTTGAATCGATTTTCAGCCGGCTCACGGTTAATCGTTACATCCCTAAACATTGCTAAATAAAATAAAAAAAAAACTAAATATCATCAAAAGGCTGTTTTTTTAATCCATATTTGAGTTGTATGTGTGTGGTCTCTTGTCCAGTTACTTCGGTATTGTGAATAGTTACAGCTCAGAGCTTTGTGCAATGTAACGGTCCAGATGTGACGCCACCGTGAGGAATTTCCCACAAGTGGTAGAGGAGAGACAGAGAGAAAGAGAGAGAAGGAAAAGAGAGAAGGTAGGGGCATGAACACATAAATGAGTATGTGTGACTAACATTTGCTTGTATCTTTGGCTGGCACAAAACACTACAGCAGTCGCACCAGACCCCTGCAGTTACACTGCATCTGAATTACAGCTCCTTACAGTCTGTGACTCTGTGGGAAGATGTTTAATTACAGAATCAATGAGACTCGAAAAGTGGCTGGACAAGGATCCTGTCTGATCAGCCAACCAAAGATCTGAACAATTAAAACACAAAAAAGCAAGGCAATCTTTGGTAACTGTACTTTTAATGTGAGGCCATTTTTGAAGGCATAATGTTTGATTAAAGTAAAGTTTAGTCAAGTTTAGCGTCAGAATCACTTATTATCCAGCCTCTTATAATCTACCTTTTACCTAACCATGTCACAGTCATTTACCTGTCACCTCCTAGCAGACTCTTCGAGCCGTCAGTCGTTCTTCAGTAAATATAGCCCAGAGTGTGAGAATGTATGGGGAGGTGTGGAGTGCTGCTAGGTTACCTGAGAGATGTGGTTGATGGAGGACTCCATTCGGCGCAGCTGGGAGGCCTGGATGTCGAGCATTTGGAGCACATTGTTGGCGAGTGTGTTGATCAGGTAGGCCACACTGGCCAGTGACTGAGTGGTGTAGTTCTTGGTTTCCTCTAGAGCGGCGTGCTTGTCTGGAGACTGATGGAGAAATAAACGAACAATAGTCAGTGCGCCATTAAATCTGTTCAGCCATTTCAAAGTGTGATATTGGAGTATGCTGAGTGATTTTTGATGGTTAAAAAAATATATTTATTGCAACTCGTCTCCATTCATGTTTATCAACTGAGCTTTTGTTGAAGCATTTTTTTAACACCGCAACGAACAAATAGCAGAAGCTGTTTAAGCATTAGTTGTCCCAAAATCTGTCAAGCAAAATAAACTGCTACTAACTAAAATAATCTTTACTGAATCATTGCTCAATGAAACCAAAACAAAATCAAACTGGGACCTTGAGAGTCAGAATCAAGCCAAATCAAATGGATAAAATTTGTTGTTTACAAGCTGCTCTCTTCACTGACAAGCGGTTTGCAAGTTTCGTTTCTTACAATGGATGTAGGTAAATATCCACCTAATCCAGGTTAATAAAGCCAGGCGAAGACTGTACCATCTGCGACAGCTGAGAAAATTCAGGGTTTCGCCAGCAATCCTGAAAACTTTCTATTCAGGGGCCATAGAAAGTGTATTGACTCAGTGTATCTCAGTGTGGTATGGGAACAGCTCCAGTCAAGACTGCAAAGCCCTGTCTTATAATCTACCTTTTACCTAACCATGTCACAGTCATTTACCTGTCACCTCCTAGCAGACTCTTCGAGCCGTCAGTCGTTCTTCAGTAAATATAGCCCAGAGTGTGAGAATGTATGGGGAGGTGTGGAGTGCTGCTAGGTTACCTGAGAGATGTGGTTGATGGAGGACTCCATTCGGCGCAGCTGGGAGGCCTGGATGTCGAGCATTTGGAGCACATTGTTGGCGAGTGTGTTGATCAGGTAGGCCACACTGGCCAGTGACTGAGTGGTGTAGTTCTTGGTTTCCTCTAGAGCGGCGTGCTTGTCTGGAGACTGATGGAGAAATAAACGAACAATAGTCAGTGCGCCATTAAATCTGTTCAGCCATTTCAAAGTGTGATATTGGAGTATGCTGAGTGATTTTTGATGGTTAAAAAAATATATTTATTGCAACTCGTCTCCATTCATGTTTATCAACTGAGCTTTTGTTGAAGCATTTTTTTAACACCGCAACGAACAAATAGCAGAAGCTGTTTAAGCATTAGTTGTCCCAAAATCTGTCAAGCAAAATAAACTGCTACTAACTAAAATAATCTTTACTGAATCATTGCTCAATGAAACCAAAACAAAATCAAACTGGGACCTTGAGAGTCAGAATCAAGCCAAATCAAATGGATAAAATTTGTTGTTTACAAGCTGCTCTCTTCACTGACAAGCGGTTTGCAAGTTTCGTTTCTTACAATGGATGTAGGTAAATATCCACCTAATCCAGGTTAATAAAGCCAGGCGAAGACTGTACCATCTGCGACAGCTGAGAAAATTCAGGGTTTCGCCAAACTTTCTATTCAGGGGCCATAGAAAGTGTATTGACTCAGTGTATCTCAGTGTGGTATGGGAACAGCTCCAGTCAAGACTGCAAAGCCCTGCAGAGAGTTGTGCGCTTAGCTGAGCGCATCTCAGGGTCTGCTCTCCCCTCTCTACAGGACATCTACCTCAAACGCTGCAAAAGCAGAGCTGTTAAAATCATCAAGGACTCCAACCACCCTGGTAACGGTCTTTTCATTTTGCTGCCATCTGGTAAGCGCTTCCGCAGCCTGATGGCAAAAACCGCGAGACTTAGGAGGAGCTTCTTCCCCTAGGCCATCAGGCTCCTAAACTCAAACTCAGTCTCTTAACACCAACATGACTTCACTTAATTATCATTAAGACACTTAATATACAGACATTGTCACTTGCACACAGCAATTTCTGTAATAATTTATTTATTACTTTTTTACCTCTATTGCTGCTTCTACAGTATACTGTCCTGCGCATTTTATTTTATTCTTACATTTTTAATCTTTTTTCCATACCTATATTTATATATAATTTTCTTGTGTTTGTATTCTTTAATAATTGCACTGTCCATGGAGCGGACCTGACTTACATTTCACTGCTGGTCATATATTCTCTATATAACCATGTATGTGACAAATAAAAATCTTGAATCTTGAATCCAACACTTTCTGCTTTCTGTCTTAAAAAGTTTCCTGTTAGAGTGAAAGACTGCTGGGATTCAGCGTGTGAGTATGAGTAAAGTGTCTGGATGAATCAAATTGAATCACAAACAATTTCAGGCCTTATTGTGTAACCATTTGATCAATTAGAAGAAACAATCATTCATTAACAAATTTGGAATCACTAGTTCTGATTCTAAAGTGCAGAAAACACACAAGATTATTGCTGAAATACTATAATTGAAACGAATTCTCAGGTTAGTATACAGTAATCACCACCTGTCAGAAAAAAAATTTGTCAGTAATATTCTACTGGGGCTCGTGCGACGCCCCTGGTGTGGAATGTCAGGATCTAAGCAGTTCTTCGGTGACATCAAGCTGCACAGTCACATGACCCGGGCTTTGATCCCTAGGCTGACAGAGAGAAAGTGTACGTGTGTGTGTCTGTGTACACAATTCCTGTCTTTGTCCCAGGACGGTACCAGGAGGGAACAGTCACCTCTCACATACTTTTGACTGTGCTATTATAGATTGCAAACCGCTGTAACACACATTCAACAAAGCCCACATGACAACAGACCACTGTGGACCTCAAACCACCTTAAACCAGCAATCATCTCATAATACAATGTAATTTAACATCATGACATATAATATCTAATAGCTAATAGGGCTGGGCAAAAAAAATATTGATTTCTTGATTTTACGAAACAATATCAATTCTTAAATCCCAAGAATCGATTAGTCTAACTTGTTTTCAGTTAATGAAGGAAACATTGTAGCGCACCTCTCTTCCAATAAATCACAATAAGCTTTGTGCTTTGTTACTTTTGATATGAAACGGTCTCAGATTTCAAATTCTGCCCATTTTATTACAGTATTCAAACAATAAGTGCCGTTTTGGCGCTGTTTAATGTGGAGTGACAAATCGTTGTAGCTCCTCAGTTCAGTCATGGCAGGTGCACTGATCAACTCCTCCACTTCAATACCAGTTTCAGCAATAAAAATAAACATGAATGAACATCTGAAGGTATCTGAAAAGAAAGAGTACAACTTACCGAAATCCGTATCCTGTCTCATGTAATCTCTCAATCAGTGTTTCAACCGTGCAAAGACGTCAATATAATAGCTTGTAAACAATGTCATGTAACGTCACATTTAACTTACCTCAGAAAAAAAAAAAACACGTTCGGTGACCATAAATTCGTTAGCACCTGCTCATCTAAACTTACATGAATCTCATGCTGCAGTGAAACAGAGCAGTTAATAAGTGACCAAAAACGTGACAAAAAAGAAATAATTCAGTCGCATGGATCAACTTATTCTCACATAATGATTTGCACCACTGACTGCGTTTACTGCACTGAAATGCTGCAGGCCCAGAAGAAGCTGTGGGCTTGCAGTGGGCAGGCATGTAGGCCAGGAAGGCCCATCCTCCCCCAGGACACACAATGACACACTGACACTAATATGCAGACACAGTGCGCTGACTAGGGCTGGACGATATGGCCAAAATTTATATCACGATATATTTCTTAATTTCGGTCTATAAAAACCTGATACTAGTAAAATGTATTAAATAATATTTTGAATAATGTTCTTAGTCTGTCCATCCTGTGATGGGGAATCCCAGACAGAAGATTAAATTAAATGTTAATTAAATGGAAATTTAATTAAATACAGTTTATGTACCCAAAATATCAATAATGACCAGGAAAAAAGCTTGAAATACACCGTGACTCTTATTTTGAAATGTCTACACTGTTGACTGTACAGTTGCAGGCTGCTCATTCAAGTTCAGATGAAGAAAATAAAATATGCATTCTTACAACTGTCTAAAACATATTACCATATAAATATCATATAGTAAACATTGTCATAATTCATCATTAGTTCATAAGCAATCGTTTGGCATAAATGTGCACTATTCATTGATTAAACCCACACCGAAGCAGTCTGAAACGCTGCTGCACGAGTCTGTTGAGCGCGCAACAGCACCATGTTTTCCCGCTGTTAGATCAGATACAATGCAAATGTATGTAACTACTACCACATAAGACATCAGTCCTCCTGACTGAGCCTGACTGGATATCATCCCAAATTGTCCTTGCCTAACATTTTTGTCTCGTTTTCTCTTTTAGTTTTTGTCATTAAAAACTAGTTTTTATTTAGTTATAGTCTTGTTTTCATTGGTGAAAAAATGTTGACGAAAATAATTCGTCAATGAAATTAACATTGGATTAGTGGTTCAGTGAGTCAAATGCTTATGAATCAGTGTATGCTGGTCACTCTGTATGCTTGTTTTTTTTGTGCAGCTTAATAAAAAGTTTTCTTGCCCGTGAGGAGGGAGGGAGGGAATTATTCAGATGTTTTTCAAACAGGTGTATTTAAAAAAAAATAAAGTGTGTCTGTGTGACCCCTGAACTGACGTGGGTCTGCAGGGCAGGTTTGGGAGAGGCGAACGCCTGCTCATTATTTCAGCTGCTTTTGTCTGAAATGAAAAAAGAGCAGGTACAGGAGTCATTTACCGGCTGGCCCACTGAACCACACAGTACATCTTCTCTGTTTCAATCGCACACAAATGGAGGCAGGGCCTGTGGGTATTTACACGGTAGTGTGCCCATTAATGACTGTTCAGCTGTGTGCTCACAGCACTGACCACAGCAAAAGGACACACTGATTTTTCAGTGATGACTCAAATAATTATACTCTGAAAATGAACAGGTGGGTAGAACAAGAGACGCTGATGACACTTTTGTTCCTCATGTTAATGCACAGAGCTCACAGCTCCTTTCATCAGACACCTCTCCAGAGACCTCTTTCAACAGTAAGAGCTTTTCAAACAGGGTGTCAGACCGATGGTGACGCTACTGACGTGACTACACTTTTCTGAAGCGTGACTGTGGCTCAGCTCAACTGAAAGCAATGAACCTTACAGATGAGCTGAAGCAATAATCACTGTCAAAGGATGTCTGTCTCAAGTAGTGCAGTACAATTCAATTGAGCAAATCTGTACATTCAGAGGGTTCTTTTCAATAAAGCTTTCAAAAAGAGAAAGAGAGAGAGACGGAGAGAGAGTTTCCTTTTCATTTCATCAAGATTTTTGCCTTACAGTGTGTTCACACCAAACGCGAATTTAATTATTCGCGCGAGTAGATTACAAACAAAGTCAATGCAAAGACGCGAATAGAGGTGAATTCTCGCCAGGCGACGCGAATGACGCGAAATGCGCGACGCGCTTGCCGCGAATGCGAGATATTCGCCTCAATCACGTCTTTCGCGCAAGTTCAAAAATTTCAACTTGAGCGGAAAATTCGCCTGACGCGTTCTCTGGCTACAGAGATGCTGCTATCAATAATAAAAATAATAGTAGTATCAGTGTATATATACAGTAGTAAAATGTAACACACATTAATACAGGATCCTAACGTTATTCATCCTCCTCTGGATGGTGCTGTGAACCCAGACACGTCGGCGTTTGGCTTTCCATTGTATTTGGGACTTTTTGACAACAGGTACAAAACAGCGATTGTAGTTATCTCCACCATGGTTGATCGCGCTGTTTTTATTCGCGCGAGTGACACGAAAAACATGCCGCGAGTAATCTAGAGCGAGTGGCGCGATGCGCATATTCGCTTCGCGTCTGGTGTGAACGCACCATTAGAATGGCCATCTATCCCCCGCTTTCTATATATTGCCATCGGGCATCAAAAACGTATATTGGTCGACCACAAGTCATTGCTCAATAGTGTACCCAGAAGCACTTTACACTAGGGATGGGCAATATCTTATCGTTTGCGATATACCGGTAAAAATTCTCCCCACGATAAGAATTAG